TATACTCTATATTCTATATTCTTTATTCTAGTCTATATTCTATACTCTATATTCTGTATTCTATACTCTATGTTCTATACTCTATGTTATACTCTATATTCTATACTCCATATTCTATAATCAATATTCTATACTCTATACTCTTCATTCTATATTACATGCTCTATTCTATATTCTATACTCTATACTCCATATTCTAGACTCTATATTCTGTATTCTATACTCTATATTCTATATTCTTTATTCTATACTCTATATTCTATATTCTTTATTCTATACTCTATATTCTATACTCTATATTCTGTATTCTATACTCTATGTTCTATACTCTATATTCTATACTGCGTATTCTATGCTCTATATTCTATACTCCATATTCTATACTCTATATTCTATACTCTATATTCTGTAGTCTATATTCTATACTCTATATTCTATACTCTATTCTATATTCTATACTCTATATTCTATATTCTATGCTCTATATTCTATATGCTATGCTCCATATTCTATGCTCCATATTCTAGACTCTATATTCTATACTCTATATTCTATATTCTATACTCTATACTCTATATTCTATACTCTATATTCTATATTCTATGCTCTATATTCTATATGCTATGCTCCATATTCTATGCTCCATATTCTAGACTCTATATTCTGTATTCTATACTCTATATTCTTTATTCTAATCTATTTTATATACTCTATATTCTGTATTCTATACTCTATATTCTGTATCCTATACTTTATATTCTTTATTCTAGTCTATATTCTATACTCTATATTCTGTATTCTATACTCTATATTCTATATTCTTTATTCTAGTCTATATTCTATACTCTATATTCTGTATTCTATACTCTATGTTCTATACTCTATGTTATACTCTATATTCTATACTCCATATTCTATAATCAATATTCTATACTCTATACTCTTCATTCTATATTACATGCTCTATTCTATATTCTATACTCTATACTCCATATTCTAGACTCTATATTCTGTATTCTATACTCTATATTCTATATTCTTTATTCTATACTCTATATTCTATATTCTTTATTCTATACTCTATATTCTATACTCTATATTCTGTATTCTATACTCTATGTTCTATACTCTATATTCTATACTGCGTATTCTATGCTCTATATTCTATACTCCATATTCTATACTCTATATTCTATACTCTATATTCTGTAGTCTATATTCTATACTCTATATTCTATACTCTATTCTATATTCTATACTCTATATTCTATACTCTATATTCTGTATTCTATACTCTATGTTCTATACTCTATATTCTATACTCCATATTCTATGCTCTATATTCTATACTCCATATTCTATACTCTATATTCTATACTCTATATTCTGTAGTCTATGTTCTATACTCTATATTCTATACTCTATTCTATATTCTATACTCTATATTCTGTATTCTATACTCTATATTCTATATTCCATATTCTATACTTTTTATTCTATACTCTATATTCTATACTCTATAGTCTATACTCTGTTCTCTTTATTCTATATTCCATGCTTTATTTTATATTCTATAGACCATTTCACAAGATGTAAACAACACTGGTCCAGAAGCACTTCCTGTTTCAGTTTTTTAACACTACATAAAAGCTGGGATAAAATACAACCAACAGAACATTTAAAACTGAATCAAAAAGTTCAACAAACATCTTTAAGATGTTTTCTTTACATGTGAAATAAAGAAAACAGTTACAAACTGAAACAGTAAGTGCTTCTGGACCAGTGTTGTTTACATCTTATGAAATGGTCTATACTCTATATTCTGTATTCTATATTCTATACTCTATATTCTGTACTCTATATTCTATATTCCATATTCTATACTTTATATTCTATACTCTATATTCTATATTCTTTACTCTATATTCTATACTCAATATTCTATTCTATACTCCATATTCTATACTCTATACTCTAGATTCTATACTCTAGATTCTATACTCCATATTCTATACTCTAGTCTATACTCTGTACTCTTTATTCTATATTCCATGCTCTATTTTATATTCTATACTCTTTATTCTGTACTCTATATTCTATATTCCATATTCAATACTCTATATATTTCATATTCTATACTCTATATTCTATTTTCTATACTCTATATTCTATACTCTATATTCTATATTCCATATTCAATACTCTATATATTTCATATTCTATACTCTATATTCTATTTTCTATACTCTATATTCTATATTCTATACTCTATATTCTATATTCCATATTCAATACTCTATATATTTCATATTTTATACTCTATATTCTATATTCTGTATTTCGTGGAAGCATAGATTAAATAAATCATGCTCCACTGAGCTATAGTAACTAAATATTTTTTTGTAAATATTGTTTACAATCTTTAAAGGGATAGTCACTTTGAAATTAATGTTTGATATGTTTTATCTTACCTCAAGGGCATCCAAGATGTAGGTGTCTTTGTTTCCACAGTATTTTCAATTTTGACATTTTTCAGTCAAACCGTTGATGTCTATCAGTCATACACTGGAGGCTAAGGGGGTCCACCAAAGAGCAGCACAGAGAAGTCCAAATTAAACATGATTTAATGACTCGTAAATGTAAGTACACATTGATGGCCTAAGACACGAAACGAAAACCAACAGTATTTATATCGTTTGAGTGAGTGAACGAACGAGTGAATGAATGAGTGAGTGAGTGAGGGAGTGAGTGATATGTGAAAGAGTAAGTGAGTGAGTTAACGAGTGAGGAAGTGAGTGAGTGAACGAGTCAGTGAGTGTGTGTGAGTGAGTGAATGAGTGAAAGAGTGAATGCTTGAATGAGTGAGTTAATGAGTGAATGAGTGTGTGTGTGTGTGTGTGTGTGTGTGTGTGTGTGTGTGTGTGTGTCCTCATTGTTCAGGTCTTGCTGGTATTGGAGAGATGTAACGCTCAGTTGTGTGTGTTTATGATCTCTTTTCTTGTATATGTGTGTGTCCTCTTGACCCTGCGGGAGAGATCATGAGAACTCTTCAGTTTCAGACTGTCAGACGCACCAGTTTCATGATCATCTCACACACACACACACACACACACACACACACAATCAAACCCTCATCACTACACGAATGGGAGAGTTCGCTCATTAAACCGTCGTTATGTTTAAGAGATCGTCGTTTAGCAGCGTGTAAATGCGAGAGTCTCGTCTTCTTTATGATGAAGTGATGAAGAAATGCTTTCTTTATTTCTGTTCTAAGATGCTGGTGTTTTAATATCTGCGTAATGAAAAACAGCTAAATGCTGGAGTGGGAGATGTGAATGTTTATTTTTTATACCAGTCAATTAATTCCCATTTTGTTAATGCATCATGATTGAGAACATCAGCTGGTGTGTGTTAAAGCTGATCACACACACACACACACAGGACTCGCTCTTTATGACTGTCGCCGGTTATTTATTAGCTTTATTTGACAGACACACACACACACACAAGCCTTTACATGATCAGTCCCTCATAATATTGATTTATCGTGATAGAAGTAAATTAGCCGGTTTTTATTGGCACTCTTATAAAGAATATGCGATTACTGTTTAATGACGCTCATAAATGTGACGTTTATATGACGACCGGAAGCTTATTTAACTCATAACTTCAGTCAACAAGCTCAGCTTCACCAGTTCTGTGTGTATTTATTTTATTTGTGTCGTGTAAAGAGAAGCTCTAATAAAAGTGCTATATAAAATGAAGTTTATTAATATTATTAGTTATCGCAAAAGTCTTTCTTCAATATATGGCAGGTTTATCATTTTATTTACATCGAATTTGCAACTTTATTGCTGCTAATGCTTAAATTTAGGGAATTTTTGTTTCGTTTAATTTTTATGTCATTTAATAATTACACAAATCTCCCATATTTTAGTATCAGGTTAAAATTCAAATATCATAAAAAAAGAATAAGAAACAAACCTACATCTTATATAATATAGTTTCATCCCTTGAATGTTTTCTGAAGATTAAGCAACTTTTTTTGGTTAGTGAATTTCAGATTAAATAATAAATACATTAATATAATAATAAATATTAATCTGTTAAATGAGTAAATATTGACTTCCTTTTCAGACCCTATTGCCCTATTCATTTATTTGTATTATTGTTGTTATAAATCCATTAGGGCTGGCAAACGATTAATCAGATCCAAAAGTTTGTGTTCACATAATATATGTGGGTGCAATTATTTTATATTTATATGAATACACATACACATGCTTGTATATATTTAAGAAATATTTTCATGTGTATACTGTATGGATATTTATATATAATTTATATTATATATATATTAGGGCTGTGCAAAAATTAATTGCGATTAATCGCATCCAAAATAAAAGTCTGTTTACATAATATATGTGTGTGTGCTGTATATAATTATTTTGTATATATAAATACCTATGCATGCATGTATATATTTAAGAAATATTTGCGCTTAAATTCTGTATATATATATAAATACATAATCTATGTTATATGAATATAAATATTTTATATATGAATAACACATTTTCTTAAATATATACATGCATGTGTGTGTTTGTATTTATATATACATAAATAATTATACACAGTGCATCCACATATATTATGTAAACACAAACTTTTATTCTGGATGCGATTAATCGTTTGACAGCCCTGAAGCCCATGTGAAGTATTTTTCATTTTTTTTGTTATTTTATATTTTGAATTTGTCTTATAACATGTTCATGTAGAAGATTTACGGTTCCATCACTTTATGGACTTAGTTTTAATCATGTTTTATGAATTAAACAGCACGTAAATATGATTTTTCAGCAGAAAACACTTGAAATAACCCGTTAAATATGAAAGAATTGTTCAATAATTTGAGACACGTGTCCAGTTTATATGGAGCCGTGCGGTTTTATAGTTTTGAGGATCGGATTAACTCTGCCTCTTCTTCTTCTTCTCAGGAGCTGCAGCTGATTGGCTGGAGAGTGTGGACCCGTGAGTGAGGACACACACACACACACACACACACACTCGCTCAGTGAGGTCTGCAGCTCGTCGGGTCGTGTGTGTGTCGGAGGCTCGGGTCGTGGACATGTGGATGTGGAGCCATGCGGACGGAGCTTGTGCTGCGCTCTTCTCTCACGGCGCTTCTCTGCACTCAGGTCAGTTCATGATCCACACACACACACACACACACAGTCAAAACACTGAAAACAAGCTGTGCATGGGGCAGGGATGACGGCACATTATTAAGCTATTGCAAGAATCTTTCTTCAATTTGTGGGAAATTCATCCTTTGATTTACACTGAGTTAGACACTTTTCTGGAGTTTTCAAACTGTGTTATATTTCATTTCTGTAACACTTTACAATAAGGTTCATTAGTTAACATTTATATATATATATATATGAAGAGTTCAGATGCAAAAGCCTCTAAATGCCATTTGAAATTTTCTTCTAAATTTACCATTTTTATCAAGCTTGTATATTTAAGTTCAGTGATTTCACTCAAATGGCAATGATAATTACCTATTAATTGTTATTTAAGTGAAATTATTAAATACTTTTTATCTTTGTTAAAAAATTTTAAAGTGTTGTTTTAAGTGGCATTTATTTTTGATCTGTATATATATATATATATATATATATATATAAATTTACACTGTGTGTCAAACGTTTTGTAATTAATAAGTATAATAATTTTTTTCCATTTTTTACTGTATTTTTTAACAATTAAATGCAGCCTTGGTGTTCTTTCGTAAACATTAGCTAATCGTAATTATTCCAAAATTTGGACCGTAGTGAATAAATAAATTGGTAACTATAAGGTTCATTACGTAATGTGTACATTTGTTACAGTGTTTATTAATCTTTGTTAATGTTAGCTAATAATAATCCAGCTGTTCATCGTTTGTTCATGTTAGTGCATTAATTAATGTTAACTAATACAACCTTTGATTTTAATAACGTATTAGTAAATGTTGAGATTAATATGAACTAAGATTAATAAATGCTGATGAATATTGTTCATTATTAGTTCATGTTCACTAATGAATTTATTATAAAGTGTGACCTAATGTAATTATTTGTGAAATTTACCAGTGAAAGTTGTTTTAAAGTTAAACACCAGTTTTATTCCAGTGTTGTAGTTGATAAAAGAATAGGATTTAATTGATAAAAAAGTATTAGTGATTTTTTACATAGGAAAAACTTTACATTGTGGTACATTTTACTATTAAGTACTATATTTCTGTTTTTATATTTTAAAATGTTAAATAAAAATATATATGTCAAACATATAAAATTCAGGATATCTTTGCAAGTAATGTCTAGTAAAAATAGTCATTCTAGTAAAAACTCTACTTATTTAACCTTTTTTTGTTATTTTATATTTTGACTTTGTCTTATAAAGAAGAGTCCATGTAGAAGATTTAGGGTTCTATCACTTTTTGGACTTAGTTTTAATCATGTTTTAAATAGTTTTATGAATTAAACAGCACGTAAATATGATTTCTCAGCAGAAAATACTTTAAATATATTTTAATATAGTTTTTATATTTTAAAATGTTAAATAAAAAATATGTAAAACATGTTAAATTCAGCATTTCTTTGCAAGTAATGTCTAGTAAAAATAGTCTTTCTAGTAAAAACTCTAGTTAGTTAACCTAATAGCATTAATAATATTAGTGCAGTTCATTAACAATACATTAGACCTCTAAAATAAGATGTTAATAATAACAAAAAAAGAAGAATTCAGTGACTTCAGTGACTTTTAGTTAATGATCATTTTAACATGAACAGTTGTTTTATCAACTGATATTATTAAAAATTAAATATTGTAACAAATGCTCATTAATATGAGTTCATGCATTAACCAGCGTTCACGAAAGACTTTATTGCTAACAGATATCAGACGCATGTTGTAGTTTAACGCTCGTATATCTGAACGTTCACCGAACATCGAGAGACGAGGTGATTTGTGTAGAAGTCTGAGCCTGATCTTCAGAAACACACATTTATCTTCAGTTTTGTAATGTGTGGCTGCTCTCTGATCAGTGTTTAGTGTCGAGGTGAATCTAAGAGTGCTGAGATGTTATTTCAAAGACGTTTTGCTGTTGAAAAGATGAATCAATACACACACAAACGTGCATGTTAGTCACTTTCACAACAGTGTCAAACGTCATCATACGCTGTGCGGTTTTGTGCAATCTTTGAGAGTTCAGGAGAATTACAGTAGAAGCTCGTAACTCTCCGGCTCGCCATATTACAGCAGGTTAAAAGGAGTAGTTCACTTTAAAAAAAGAAACTTTTGCTGATAATTTACTCGCCCCCATGTCATCCAAGATGTCCATGTCTTTCTTTCTTCAGTCGAAAAGAAATTAAGGTTTTTGATGAAAACATTCCAGGATTTTCTCCATATAATGGACTTCAATGGGGTCCAAACGGTTCAAGGTCCAAAAGACAGTTTCAGTGCAAACTACAAACTGTTCAAAGGGCTTTAAACGATTCCAGACGATGAATAAGGGTCTTATCAAGCGAAACAATCGCTCATTTAATAAATAAATAACAAAGTTTAAGTTTTATAAGCTCAAATGCTCGCCTTGCTCTGTTCGTGACTCTCTTGTTCATCAAAATTTTCACCTTTCATCTTCATCTTTTCATCTTTTTCCGAGTCAAATTGTTCGTTTCGTTCGTTGAATGAACCAAATGACTCGGGAAAAGATTCGTTCATTTTTAGGAGAGTCACGAACGCGCATCACAGAACAGAGCAAGGTGACCATTTGAGCTTATAAAACTTAATCTTTGTTATTTATTTATTAAACGAGCGATCGTTTCGATTGATAAGACCCTTATTCATCGTCTGGAATCGTTTAAAGCCCTTTGAACAGTTTGTAGTTTGCACTGAAACTGTCTTTTGCACCTTGAACCGTTTGGACCCCATTGAAGTCCATTATATGGAGAAAATCCTGGAATGTTTTCATCAAAAACCTTCATTTCTTTTCGACTGTAGAAAGAAAGACATGGACATCTTGGATGACACGGGGGCGAGTAAATTATCAGCAAAAGTTTTTCAAAAGTGAACTACTCCTTTAACACCGAAATGAAAGTTTGAGTAAATGTTGAATATCAGATTATGCCGAATCCGTTCACAGAGCATCGCATATCTTTCACGTCTGTCCTATAAAAGCTTTATATTTGTCGGCTCAGGATGGCGGTGTTCTTATGATACTGAGTTGCTCTTTATTTCAACGCTGTAACTTGCTTTGCAATGTCAACTACCTAGAAAATGAACGGACTGTTTGGTTAGGGTTCGCGCTAGTAGGATAAGACGTGTACATGTCCAGATACACTGTATTTAAGCAGACGATCTACTCAAACTCTACTTGCAAAGTTACTGGAATTTGGCCGTTGAATAGTCTAGTTTAGCGTATTTACAGATGGAATATTATCGTGAATCTACAATATAAGTTGTGTTAATGAAGGAAAAGCACTTCCAGTGTTTTATTGCTTCTAGTCTTAGATAGCAGAGAAACGTGTGTGTGTGTGTGTGTGTGTGTGTGTTCAACGACTCGAAGCTTTCTCACTCTAAACCGATGTTCAGGAGCTGGCATTGTAAAATGGGAAGAATGTAAATATTGATGTGTTCATTGAAGATGTTTAATATCTCCTCCAGTCACAGCCTCACACCGCTCGCCAATCATTAATATTGTGTCCTGATAAAAGCTGGAGGACGTAATGTTGAGCATTTAAGCATTTATTAACAGTGCCATCAGCTCTCATTATGACCGGAATACACACACAGACACAGCAAGTTAACCCCGTGTTTATGTTGACGTGTGAAGGTCATGGGCTCCATGCTGGACGATGTGATCTATAAGCGCGGGGAATATCAGGAGAACTGCACACGCTTCCTGAAAGCCTCTCTGCCGACTGGCACTGGTGAGTGAAGCTGCGGGAGGAGATGACATGTGTAATAAATGTCTGCTGTGGAAGTTATTATGTTTAACAGAAGTCACTGTACGGATCGCTCCGTAGGAATCTTCTGCAACGGAACGTTTGACGTGTTTGCGTGCTGGCCGCACTCGTCTCCCGGCATCGTGTCCGTTCCCTGTCCTCCGTATCTCCCGTGGATCCGAGAAGGTCTCCTGTCTTTTACACTTTTAACAATTACATTTAAAAAGTCGAAGGGTTCAATCATGTCACAGCCTAATATTATTTAAAGGAGTAGTTCACTTTTGAAAAGTGTCCAGATGTCCATGTCTTTCTTTCTTCAGTGGAAAAGAAATGAAGGTTTTTGATGAAAACATTCCAGGATTTTCTCCATATAATGGACTTCAATGGGGACCAAAAGGTTCAAGGTGCAAAAGACAGTTTCAGTGCAAACTACAAACTGCTCAAAGGGCTTTAAACGACTCCAGACGATGAATAAGGGTCTTATCAAGCGAAACGAGCGGCCATTTAATAAATAAATAACAAAGTTTAAGTTTTATAAGCTCAAACGCTCGCCTTGCTCTGTTCTGTAACGCACTCCTGTTTGAACTTGTTCATCAAAATGAACAAATCTTTTAAAGATAGACTGGGTTGCATACATAATTTTTGTGTTTACAAATAATATGCATCTTATTGTTGCATACTACGTTGTTCATCGCACTTTAGCAATTTCTCAAATAAAGCCACAATTGCCAAAGTATGAATGCCACGTAGAATTAAGGCAGTTCTGAAGGTGAAAGGGGTCAAACACATTATTAGTATGGGGTTCCTAATAATCCTTTAGGTGAGTGTATATATATATTTATATCATTTACACTACCTGTCAAAAATGTTTTGAATAAGTATAATAATGTTTCAGCATTTTTATTGTATTTTTTAACAATTAAATGCAGCCTCTGTGTTTTTTCCTAAACATTAGCAAATCGTAATTATTCCAAAATCCTGACGGTAGTGTATAAATAATTTACCAACACTTCACAATAAGGTTCATTAGTTGACATCAGGTAATGTATAAACTGACACGAACAATGAGCAATGCATTTGTTACAGTATTTATTAATCTTTGTTAATGTTAGTTAATAATAATCCAGCTGTTCATGTTAGTTCACAGTGCAGTAACTAATGTTAACTAACACAACCTTGGATTTTAATAACGTATTAGAAAATGTTGACATAAATGCTGTTGAAATATTGTTCATTATTAGCTCATGTTCACTACAGGTGAAACTTGAAAAATTAGAATATGGTGCAAAAGTTCATTTATGTCAAAATAAAGATCACAATTATAACAAATAAAGGCTTGAAATATCTCACTTTGCATGTAATGAGTCTATATAATATATTAGATTCAGCTTTTAAGTTGAATTACTGACATAAACGATATTCAAATTTTTCAAGTTTCGCCCTATAATGAACCATTTTTGTAAATTGTTCCCAATAATTTTCGAATTAAGAAACATTAACTCTGTGATGCCTGTATGGTTGTTGTCAGGAGCTGCTGGAAGTGTGTATAAGGAATGCATGATCAACGGCGCCTGGAAAACTGAGGAGAACTCCAGCAGCGTCTGGAGAAACCAGTCCGAGTGCGAAAACCAGTATTACTTCAAGTCTGAGGTGAATATAGCTCGCACACATTAAAGCATGGTGTCCATCACGGCCCAGTGTTTACAGCGGCGCCCTGCGCACACAGGAGGAGGAGGTGTTTCGGCAGTCCGTGCTGCGAGTCCTGTCCATCGTCGGATACTCGCTGTCCTTCTCCTCGCTCTGCTTGGCTGTTCTCATCATGAGTCTGCTGAGGTGAGTTCTGCAGGGCTCAGTGTTGGCTCCCTTTATGTTTCATACAGGAAGAATGTAACTTTAAAGTGCCCCTATTCTGCTATTTTAGAGGTTTTAGCGTCTCCTCTAACAGGTTTACATCATTCCAGCTCAGAAACACTGATTTCCTCATAATCTCCACTGCAGCTTCAGCTCTTTCCTCTCAGTGTCTGAAACGCTTCCGTCGAAGCTAAGCCCCGCCTCTCTGAGAGCCGCTCTGCTCTGATTGGTCAGAACGCTCATTATCATATCTGAATCTCAGCTCTTGATCACAGTGAACTACACGAGCCGAACTCTCCCAGTCTCAGATACACTACAGTGTTTGAGGGCAGAGCTAAGAGACGCTGCTCAGCCAATCAGGACCAGAGGCGGGCATCATTACAAACCTATGTGACTGGAATTACTGAGGACTCGTTTCAAAATCGCTTAGGACACAAATAACTCCATTTATCTGCACTTATTTCACACTACATCCCAAAAAAGCAAAATATGGGCACTTTAACCCTTATGCTGCATTAGGGACATTTTTGGTCTTTTGCAGTTTAATTTCTTTGACCATTTTGGCTGTTTTAATGCAAATGGTATGAAATTTGGCAAAATTGTGACTTTTTGGATACATGTAAAAAATGTGATCCCATTTTGCAAAATATGTATAACACACACTGTGTAGATCAAATAGTAACACTCAGCACCATAAAGACCAAAAATGGCCCATTGAAACCCATTAAAAGGTTGTTTAAATCAGTAATACATGAAACATGATTTTTGCACAAACATCCTTTCATTTTGAAGCAAAAGCATTATATTTGCATTATATAGTGTATTCCACCAGATGACGTCACTACATATTTATTCCCTATGGGTGGAAATGCACCTTATTTTAGGCAATAGGCAATGTTTAATAGGTGGCCATTTTTGGTCTCTAACGCGCTAAGTGGGATTTTTTGCAAAGTGGGACTGTGATAATCCAAATCTAAAGTTTTCTCTTTGCATTTAGTTTATTGAAAATAATAGAATTTTTGTGTTTTTTCCTCTTATACAAATCGATGGTTTCGCAAACAAAACTGGTAATTAAAGGGTTAAAATCCTGAAATTGAATACATTTTTGGTAGTTATGATGAGGACTGATGCTGGTTAAAAGATTTAACTTGGTAAAAGTGGAAAATAATAATAATATATAATATTTTAGGCAATGTTTAATATGTGGCCATTTTTGGTCCTTAATGCACTCAACGGTGTTAAAAATCTAATGCAGCACAAGGGTTAAGATAGTTTGCAAACTTCTAATAATAAAATCTAACTGGTAAAAGATCATGTTTCATGGTCTCTCGAATCGTGTTTAGGTTTCACCAATGTTCTCTGTCGAGGACTGGCGTGATTAGATTTATCTGCATGCATTTCCAGCGCCTTTGTTTTCATTGATCAAACTGATTCACTCATCCCGAGATATCTGATACTAATTTCATTTGTCCCTAACCAAGCAGTAAACTATTTGTACCCGTTGTTTTCAGGAAGCTTCACTGTACGAGGAACTACATCCACATGAATCTCTTTGTATCGTTCATATTTAGAGCGACAGCCGTAATTACCAAAGAGGTTGTGTTACAAGTCACGTACACCAACCTTCCCAGGGACGAGCTGGGGTGGAACAGCTACACCAAATCTGCGGTACAGAAACCTTTATTCGTGTTCGCTTTCACTTCTGTGTGACAACATGGCTTTCTTACGGAGGACTTGTGTCTGCTTTCTAGTCAAACGTTTCTGAAATCAAGATGCATTTACTAAAGTAGTGCAATTATGTGAAACAAGCAATGGGGTAAAAAATAATAATCTTGTTCAGGTCATTTTGCTTTTTTAAAGGAGTAGTTCACTTTTCAAAAAACTTTTGCTGATAATTTACTCGCCCCCGTGTCATCCAAGATGTCCATGTCTTTCTTTCTTCAGTCGAAAAGAAATGAAGGTTTTTAATGAAAACATTCCAGGATTTTCTCCATATAATGGACTTCAATGGGGTCCAAACGGTTCAAGGTGCAACTGTGCAAACTACAAACTGTTCAAAGGGCTTTAAACGACTCCAGACGATGAATAAGGGTCTTATCAAGCGAAACGATCGCTCATTTAATAAATAAATAGCAAGTTTAAGTTTTATAAGCTCAAATGCTCGACTTGCTCTGTTCTGTGACGCACTCCTGTGAACTCGTTCATCAAAATGAACAAATCTTTTTCCAAATCAGTTCGTTCGTTTCTTTGGCCGAATGAACCAAATGACTCGGAAAAAGATTTGTTGAACGAGTTCGAACAGGAGTGCGTCACAGAACAGAGCAAGGCGAGCGTTTGAGCTTATAAAACTTAATCTTTGTTATCTATTTATTAAATTAGAGATCGTTTCGCTTGATAAGACCCTTATTCATCGTCTAGTCTCGTTTAAAGCCCTTTGAACAGTTTGTAGTTTGCACTGAAACTATCTTTTGAACCGTTTGGACCCCATTGAAGTCCATTATATGGAGAAAATCCTGGAATGTTTTCATCAAAAACCTTCATTTCTTTTCGACTGAAGAAAGAAAGACATGGACATCTTGGATGACACGGGGGCGAGTAAATTATCAGCAAAAGGTTGACTACTCCTTTAAGCATCCACTCACTTCATTTTGATTAATTCCCCCTTTAACGAGACTTAATATCTTTACTGAACGCATCTTGATGTAAGAATGTTTAGATATTTGGACTGGAAAGCAGACCGAAGTCCCCAGGAAGAACTGATTAGTTTGTCTGACTGTACGCTGTTTCTCTGTGTAGATGCACAAAACATGCAGTAATATAATGTCAACCCTCCAGATTTCTTTCCTCTGCAAGGCCTCGAAGGTGTCGCTGGAATATTTTGTGGGATGTAATTACTTCTGGCTTCTAGTGGAGGCGATCTTCCTGCACACGCTTCTGTTCACGGCCGTGCTGACCCGCAAGAGACTCCTGAAGAAGTACATGCTCATCGGATGGGGTGCGACTCGTCCGTAATACACAACTACCCTTGTCACGCGTTTAAAGATGACTTTACTCCAAGCCCTTATGTATAATGCATTATAAAGGTGTTCATAATGTATGTTCTAGTGCTTTTCTATTCATAAATAATTGTAAGCAAAGCTTTATAATATTTGCTTTAATTAATGCATTAGAAATACTTTTATAATGCATCTTACACAAATGACTTTATTAATACTTTATTCAACCAACTCATTCAGGAACTCCATTATTGTTCGTGATCCCCTGGACCGTAACCAAAACTTTATATGAAAATAAAAGGTACGTGCCTTTCTTACTCGCCACTTTAAAAGACAGTTTTGCACGTAATACAGAAAACAATGTGTTGTATAGTAGAATAACGCAACGATTCACTGAAAGAAAAAAATTGCTTGTGCGTTTCTCAAATAATTACAAAAATCTGCAGTTTTAAACTTTGAAATTGATCGATTTGATAAAAAGACGTACGCTAATTATGTTCATTTGCAACTTGAAAAAAAATAATCTTTTTTTACAGTGCTATATTATTATATAATGACTTCTTCAACACAATTAAAATACATTTGGTAACACTTTACTATAAAGTTTCATTTGTTAACATTGGTTCATGTTAATCAACATTTATTAATACATTTACATAACTGTAACTACATCAACTATATTTTTACTAACATTATCAAAGAATAATAAATGCTTTAAAAACAGTTCATGTTACCAAACTAATGGCACTTCTTTGTAAAGTGTTTCCATATTCTTATGCTATTCTATTATAAGTTTTAATATATTTTATCCCCTTTTTTATTTGTGTTTCTTCTGATTATGTAAAGCACTTAACATTGTGCAATATAAATAAACTTGCCTTGCCTGTTAATGGTTATAAGGCTACATCTGCCTATTAATATAATGCATTGCATGTGTTCTTTTGTAAAGCTGTTGGTTGAACAATATCCGATGGATCTGGTGGATAATCCGAGGCCCAATAACACTGTCAGTGATCGTGAGTAAGATGCCTGACTTCATTACACGTGTCTTGTTTCCGTCATGCTCTGCTGTGTCTAGTGATCCTCGTGCCGGCGCGCCTCATGCTGGTCACGAGCGCAACACCACGGTCACAGTGTGTTACAGCAGGCGCTCTGAACCTTCTGTGCTTTACTCTCAGAAACATACCATGAAAATGTGCATCACTATAATTAGATCAAAACCTCATTAACACTCAATCCTGCTGAAAATCGAGTCATGCAAAAGTCAAACGCTGATTTATGGAAGCTTGTTTCCGCCACAGAATGAAAAATAAAAAAGGTAATTGCGACTTTTTATCTCACAATTTCAAGTTTACAGCTCATATTTCTCAGAATTGCAAGATATAGGGCAGAGCGGGGCACGCATTTTGGTTTTGGCTCAGTTGATTAAAAATAATTAGGTTAGATTAATATTTTTTGTACACAAGCAACATAAACATCTCTGCTACAAATGACCACTTAAAGTTTTTTTCTAGGACCTACTATTTTCGTACAGTTGGACTGAAAGTGACAGAAGTGCAAATGTTGCAACTTACCCCATATGCGGGTTAATTGTAACAGACACAGGGGTTAGTTGTAACACTTCAGGACTATTTTATTTGTATAGTTTGATATTATTTGTGCATCTGTATAGACAGATATCCATCCCTCATCCAATCATCCTTCTATTGTGGATCAATATCATAGATAGAGACATAGAAAAAGGCTGCACAGTTTTGCAATAAATAATAATAAATAAAATAATTGTAATTGCAATTAAATTAGATTTGTGTGTGGCAGCTGCATGATGTACAATTATTATTATTATTATTAATAATAACAGTAATAATAATACAAATGAGCTTAAAATAAAAATGTAAAAGGGTTTATTGCATTAAGAACATGCCATATTTTTAATAAATAAACAAGTTATCATTCATAGTACACTAAATTTTCAACATTTTAAATTCCAACATTGTTTGTGAAAGTTCAACAAAGTTAGATGAATAAATAAATACTCAAACCTGAAAAGTTGTGTGGCTCGGTTTTCATTTGATTATCATTGTACACTTGGCGGCTTGTTTGTAACTCTGTGTTAGTACTAACCCCGCTGTGTATTACATATTTTAAGCCTAGCTAACAGTCGCTAGGAATTGCTGACATGTCCAAAATGGTGCTATGTTTGAGCCAACAAGGCAATATAAAGTTAGATTTGGAAACGTATACACCCAACTCAGAAAATATATAATGAAAACATTTACTTTTATGGTGTCAAAACAGTCTTTGTCCAGTATCTTCACGAAATATAATCAAACCTTTCCGCAAATTCGCGGGAGCAGAAAAGAGGAAAAGAGCAGAAAGACAGCCTGCTTGATCCTGATGAACTATGTGAAAAGTCCGTATTACATTTAACCCCGCGCTCCCCTAAAGTCAGAATTGCGAGTTATAAAGTCAGAATTGCGAGATATATAGTTGCAATTGCAAATATATAGTTGTGATATAAAGTCAGAATTGCGAGATATGAAGTCGCGCTTGATACTTGTGTTTCAGATCGTTAAAATTTAACGATCCCTTTGTCTCATTTAGTAAATGTTGGAGTACATTTTATATGTGTGGAGAAAATATAATAAAGCTTGTTTGTCTTTCAGGTCATTTTTTGCATTTTCCTCAAAATCATCCGACTTTTGCTGTCCAAGTTAAAGGCCGACCAGGTGAAGTTCACGGACTACCGTTACAGGTCAGTCGTGCTCGCCTAAAGCTGATGTTAATATGCTCATTTTTAATGTTATCGGTATCGGCCTGATAAGAACATTTGGTCAATATATTAAAGCTGATAAATAATGTATTATTTCCTTCAGCTGAGACTCTTCAGATGCGCACGGTTCAACATGATTGGTTTGAATTGCTTGAAATATGATTGAAATCACGAAGGAAAATAGAGTTAAAGTGCAGAGCAAGTCTGTCATATCGGCTTCATAACATTATAATTGTGTGATTGGGACATGATGAGACTTTTGTTTTTGTAATCAGGCTCTCAAAAATTATGTCAAAATTTGTATTTAGATTTATCGACCGATATATCGGTTATCAACCCGATCTCAGCAATTCATATGAATTTTAAGAGGTGGCTAAATCGTACAAATTCATGCGACCTAACACGTTCAAATACGCAAGATTTTTGCTAATTCGTACATATTTTACGAGTTACCAAATTCGTATGAATTCTTATCCAAGACGTGGGTTTAGACAAATCGTACTAAATTCGTACAAATTAGCCACCTTTTAATCTCTCGTACAAATTGGTCGTCAGATAGCATTGGAGTAATCGGTTATCGTATCGGCCAAAAATGTGCATCCATGATGAAAACTCACAGATTTCACACGGTTTGCACAGTTTAGCCAGAGCAACGCTCGTGTTGATTCCTCTGCTCGGGATCCACGAGATCGTCTTCACCATCATCATCGACGAATCAGTGGAAGGAAGCAACCGCTACGCTCGAAACTTCGTCCACCTGACCCTGAGCTCGTTCCAGGTGAGCGATCCCCTCGCTTGTCCTCTCCCGACTCAGGACGCCTCTAACCGCGAGCTCTGTTCGTCCACAGGGTCTGCTAGTCGCAGTGCTGTACTGCTTCGCCAACGGAGAGGTACGTTTGGGGCGTTTCGAAAGTGAGACGGCGCTGCACGATTAATCACAACTTACATGTAATCGCACTGAAACCCAGGCTGTGATTATTAGTTATGTGCAGCGTGTCAGTGAAGCACGGCTCAGAGTTTGAGTCGCTTGTAACGGGCGTTTGAGAAAGACATGAGACGCAATTATGAACCTCTTGTCCAACAAAAGACGACATTTAATAACACGCTTTTCCTGTGTGGAAAATATGTGGTGTGTATAAGACGCCCTCTAGTGTTCAGAGGGACGTGTGTGTGTGTGTGAGACTCATCAGTCGTACTTTACTGACAAGCTGCACGTAAAATAATCGCAGGCTTTGCCCAATCGGTTCGTGGGATTAGTCGTGCGGCGCGAGTGAGAGAGTTCAGATGTCTTCCCATAATGCCCTGTTCTGTCCACATGTGCAGGTGCAGGCGGAGCTGAAGAAGCGCTGGCAGCTGTTCCTGTCCTCCAATCACTGCGAGGTCCACAACTGCTTCACGGACATCCACCCCAAACACCTGTGGAAGTGTTCGCACAAGAGTTCAGGACAAACCCAAGAGCAGAGCCAATCCAACGAGGACGGAGGCCACGCCCCCTCACAGGTGCATCCGCAGGTGACCGACCAATCAGCAGAGGACCTGGCCTGTGGGCGGAGCTTAGGCCTGGAGTTCTACACGAGGAAGAGTTTGTCCAGCAGCGACGGGGAAATGACTTTAGGAGAGACGATGGAGGAGATCATCGAGGAGAGCGAGTTCTGACACTCATTTTTATGTAAATATGTAATTAGGGATGTATATTTCCAATCTTTAACCACTGTAAATTATTCAAGGCTGTTTACGCCACAGAATAAAAAAAGGTAATTGTGACTTTAAATCAATTCGGACTTCATAATGATCATATCTGAGAAAAACGTCGGAATCGCGTAATATACATTTTTTATTTGTAAATTGTGAGATAAAAAGTTGCAATTTACACTCATTTAAAAAAATCATATAGTTTTCTCAGTGTAGGCTGTGCAACGATTAATCACATCCAAAATAAAAGATTGTTTACATAATACATGTGTGTGTGCTGTGTATAATTAATTAATTCATATATATATATATAAATATATATGAAGAGTTCAGATGCAAAAGCCTCTAAATGCCATTTGAAATTTTCTTCTTTAATGATGATTTTTATCAAACTTGTATATTTAAGTTCAGTAATTTCACTTAAATAACAATTAATAGGTAATTATCATTGCCATTTAAGTGAAATCACTGAACTTAAATATACAAGCTTGATAAAAATGACCATTCTAGAAGAAAATTTCAAATGGCACTTAGAGGCTTTTGCATCTGAACTCTTCATATATAAATACACACACATGCATGTATATATTTGAGAAATATTTACATGTGTATATTATATATATATATGTATATATAATTCATATTATATGTAAATAACATGTTTTTTGCAAAAAAAGTATTTATATATAGAAAATAATTATACACAGTACACACACATATATTATGTAAACACTTTTATTTTGGATGTGATTAATTGTCGTAATGACCTTTTTCGTTTTTATTCCGTGGCAGAAACGAGCTTCCATAGTAAATGGCTTCCGTTATGTTTTTGATACGTGAATTTTGTACATTTTATGACGCAAGGTCCACAATCGAATCTAAGCTTTGTAATACTGCTGTTGTTTATTTGATATGGCAGTGCTCAGAACCGGCCTCTTGTGTTATACCCCACTGTGATTGACGCTCTCGGACAGAATATGCTTTATATTATCCAGATCATGTTGCGACTCGTAGTGCAAAAGTGACAGAAATGCTAATCTTGGCATGCGTTCATGTTTCCATGCTGCCTTTCACTGTCCTAACTGTGCCAGATAATAATGATAGATGTATTTTATTATATGCATTTAGCCTATCAAGAGCCACTGCATTTTAATCAATTAATGCAAAGGGAGCACGATTAAAGTGAACAGTTATTAGCAAATATCTTCACTCAATTATACAAGAAAGCACACTAGTAGAAGAGCAACAGCGCGCTACAATACTCAATGTAAAATACAGTAGAATACTAAAATGAAACGTGTGCATAACTGTTACATACATGGGCAAAGTTGTGGATTATTAGCATAATTGGCATGTTCGCACAGAGATGACTGTGAATGTGACCTTTTGACCCCTGTGGTCACATGGCCGACGGACTGCTTGTATGCTTGTGTTTCACATTACATGCATTCCTGTCCGTTGTGGGGGTAATAAACAACATTTGCACATGTATATTCCATCATGGCACACACTGATTCGAGTTCCTGTCAGTCAGCGTGTAACCGCACAAATGCACTTTTTACACTTTAATTATTTAAGAGAGTCAGACTGAATTTAAACAAGTCGCAGTGATTCAAACACATCATTGCTTCTTCTCTTTGAGCCTTTCTTGGACCTTCTGGGGCTCGTCGAACTGAATCAGCCGCAGGATGTTCTTATTGCCCATAACTCCATGGATGAACTCTCCCTCTGTTATCTTACCTGACGACACAAACAAATGCATTCTTAAAGCTCAATAAAGGGTTTTCTGTTGAAGAGTAAGTCCCCCTGTGGTGAAATCCAGCGTTTATGTGTGTATCTGTGTTTTTAATATGCTTTAAGTTGATAAGTATTTCCTCCTTAAAACTGCAGTGAACCAAAGACAGTCTCAAAAACACGAAATCGCTGGTGTTTCTGACGTCACAAACCACCTTGTAACCAATCAGATCAACGTGTGATCGACAACCAGTGGATCTCTGAGTGAGTGAGTGAGTGAAGGCGGAGCTCATTTGCATATTCATAGAACTGTGCATGCTAAATGAGGTGAGGGTGTCGAGTTACATGTCATTTTGGTGATCTTTTTAGATGATTTTTAAGAGATAAAAGTGTTGACTACAGATTCCAGATTCTACATGTCATCTCTAAGACATTTACATGTGCAAACAGTCACTCACCATTTTCTTTTTTCCCAAAAAAGTCCCAAATTTTATCGGTTCGTTTTTCCGGGGTGTTCTCGTCGTCCGGGAGTGTTTTTTGGTCTTCTTTGGAGATCATGTTGAATATTGACTAAAAAAGAGGAGCAAAGGTTCTCAAAGTTATGAACAAACGCGCTTCAGTCATAAAACTTAATTTTCTGAAATGTTTTAGTTGAACGTTTTTAACTTTTGTAACGTTCAGATTCAAAAGGAACATTCTCATAATGTTTGCAAAAGGGAATGTTTCTACACTGTAAAAAATGGGTCTTGTCATTTACATTTAATAAATGAAGGCGATCGTTAAAAATAGTGTGTGACAATTGTGGTTCAGGAGAACATTTCACTAATAAAACCAAGAGATACAATTTCCAATTTTTTTAAAAGAAAGGCTTGAATTGAGGAACCGATTATGCTGATAAAATTAAGGAAAAAATAAATTAGTTAAGTTATGCGTTTTTATTTACAGACAGTCGCAGCATTGTAGAAGTTTTGATTGTTACTGTTATGCAGAAGAGTAGAGCTTATGGTTAGGGTGTGAATACTATGAAGCATGTAACACGTTTATTTCTGTAGAATAGAGTCTATTAAACTCAATATAACTCAAAGTCAAGGTCATTTCCATTCACTATATTTTGAGAGTCAACTTATTTAAAATAAACTAAAAATGTACTAAAAAAATTAAATGTAATGTGTCATAAGTAAGCAGTGAGGTACTCGAGGCAGTGCTGTATCGTGAGTAACGGCTGAAGGGTGTTGAGTAGTATTTACTTATTCTCGATACAGCACGTGCCTCAAGTACCTTATTGCTTTTATGAAACGGTTACCAAACAATAAAAATATTCAAGTAAAAAAAAATGCATTAGTGCAACTTTCATGAAGTAAAATCTCTAAAAGCCTTCCTTCCGCTAGAAAAAAATAGTCCCTGAGCGTGAACAGCAACAACGCTCCGGTGTGTAATCTGCATGAAAGCTCAAATAAACACAACATAGGAACCGCAGCGTTGCGCAGTGATGCACAGAACTGTTGGGTGACGCGGTCATAGACGTGTTTTATCGTAAATAAAGTACAGCTTTTGACCAATCAGAATCATCGATTAGAACTAACCATTTTATAAACTAAAATGATGTAGATTTTACATTATCTATTCAGGTAGATTCCATTAAAGAACACACACACACACACAACATTTTTTACAGTGTAAGAAAAAACATTCAAAACTTTCTTTGTAGTGTGTGAGTAACTGAGTCTGAGTTGGTCTTCATTCACCTTCACTATTTCATGAATCTCGTTTTTGGTGATGCTGCCGTTCCGGTCCACGTCGTACAGAGCGAAGGCCCACTCCAGCTTCTCCACGGTCTTCCCCGAGGACGTCAGGTGCAGGGCCACGATGTACTCTATAAAGGGACAAATGATGAAAGTCTGCCTTTCTCCGTGTGTGTGTGTGTGTGTGTGTGTGCTGTAATCGACCGCCTCTACCGACAGAACCCGTGAATAGTGAACCCCAGTAACTGTGTTCTGGTGAGTGTTTCTCTGATGACAGATTTACGATCAGATTTCGCTCCTTCTGGCGTATAAAGAGAGTCTTATTATAATATTCCCGCCCCTTAATCTGCGCGTTCACACACACCAGCGCCGCTGTTATGGCGCCGTTTTATATATAAACAATATTTATATTTAAACAATCTATGAATGTTAGCCAGAGGAGAACTGGCCCCCGACTGAGCCTGAGCCCAGTTGTAACGCACTGGAGAAGATCCAGCTGAGCCTGAAACTGTTCTGTGGTCAGCACAGACGACACTGAACACTATTGAGCAGAACATGTGACCGCTGTCTTATAAACACTGTCTCAGGAACTGTGGACACTTGTGGAAGAGTTCAACATGATGATGAGATGATCAGTGTAACTCCACAACAACTACACAAACGTCTCCGCTAACATTCAGAAACGTGTAAAAGTGCAGCTCTCGCTGAGCTAAAGCTGCTGTTACTCCTGATCCTGGATCAGTCAGATCCGCTGTTATTGCTGGAGTCTCTGAAGCTGGTGTGAAGGCTCCGCCCTCTACTAAACAGAGGCGGAGCTAAAGCTCATTTGCATTTAAAGGGATACACACAAAAACGGCAAATTTGACAAGCTACTCGAATCTCTTTCATTTATCCAGTGCTTTAACAACACAGATCATTTTACAGCATCTCTACAGTGATAACAGGAGATTACAGTCACAGAGTGTGTTTAGTCTTTACAGCAGATCTAGAATTAAAGCTATTGTCCAGATAAAGTTAGTTTGGATTGATTCACTTCCGTTCCAAAGATCATTAGTGATTAAGTTACTGGCCGCTAACACGACACCGCTCCTGGTGACTCGAGAACGCAAACCCTGAAACCGGTTCCAAAGTGCAAGCAACTTTAGAAAAACGTTATCATCTGTACATATATATTTTGAGCTGAGATTTCACACACACATGTTCTGGGGGCGTAACATGTCTATACGCACCTTTAAAGTCCAGCGTCCCGTCGCTGTCGGAGTCGAAGCTCCTGAAGACGTGTTGCGCGTAGGCTTTGGGGTCGGCGTCGGGGAAGAAGCTGGCGTAGATGCTCTCGAACTGCTCGCGGCTGATGCGGCCCGTCGGACACTCGTTCAGGAACTTCTGGTACCACACGTAGAGCTGCTCCTCGCTGAACTTGGTGTTCATCTTCAGGTCCTCCAGGAGATCTCTGGACAGGGCTCCACTTTTAGCATTGCCCATCTTCCCAATCACTCTCCAGACTGAGGGCGAGCGCGAGGATCCGCTCTTTAAAGCCGCGGAGGATTAGCGCGGATGAAGCGTGATTATGATTATACTGATTATGGCTGATTTGATAGTGAGAGATTTCCAGGAATATATCAGACTTATGTCTCAGCAGGAAACCTCTTGAGCTTATTTGATGCATTCGGATTAATTCACAATATGCTGTTGCTGAACGCATGTTCTGTGGTCCGTCCTGATACAGTATATCTAAATTCATGCAAATGTGTGGGATTAGAAGTTAGAGACTGATCAATGTTGAGAGGCAATACTAATTATTTTTGGTTTATTTGTTCAAGAAACAAAATTCAATCATTATTTATGTTTTATTGCACAATGGCAACTATGTTAATGTTAATAAAAAAATATATATATATATATATATAGGAAAATGATTGGCCACTTAGTGAAATAGACACTTGCACAATTATGCCAGGAGCGCCCATTAAGATTTCTAAACATTATTTTCTTTATTTATTAAAGGTAATATTTATGAAAAAAATGTTGTCTCCCGTCACACCATAGGACGAGTTTGAGATTTGGCTCAAAGTTGTAAAAAAAAAAAAAAAGTAACTCTGGTATTAAAACAATAAATTCATGTAAAACAAAAAAAAAGTTTTCTAAATGATGAAAATGTGAAATAAATTATTTTTTATCTTCTGTGACGGTGAAAAAGCCACGCCACGTCAACTACCCATATATATTAAATAAAGTAATATTATATTTATATATACACACATTTACATTATATGTATATTATGTTTTATTTTTCATTATATAATGAAAAATAAAATATAATGTGTGTATATAAATAAAATATTACTTTTATATGTATTGACATTTGTATTATTAATTGTATTATTAATATTATACACACACACACACATATATAAACTTTTGTTAACATATTAAATTAATATTTTATTTATATATATCACACACACAAACACACATTTATATATTATACATAACATTTAATCTTATTTGTAATATAAGAGTGATTATGTGGATATGGAATAATATGACATTTGTCCAGATGTGAGAAGACACGTGATGATCATGAGGAAAGTGCTGATGTCACACTCTAATCGATTATGATCAGAGCTAACGGCTCTGGCGCAAATGAAAGGCGGCTCGGCTAAGCCACGCCCCCACTGAACATTGAACCATTTGAAGTGTCAGATATTGAGCATCTGTGACTTATAAAGCTGGCTGGAGCGTAACGTTAAACACAGACTAATAAAGCTCGCTGACTGTAAACACGGAGAGGTTTCTGAGGGGAACATGTCGGAGCGCGTCGGCTTCATCACTCGCGTGCAGAGCTTCAGCGCGAGCCATCGCTTACACAGGTACAGCTCTCTATTACCCATTGATTTCCACCGAAAAAAGAACTGGTTCGGAACTGGTGCTGGTTCGGAGTTGGTTCAACTTGCGAACCCGTGCAGAACCTGTTTGTTTTTCCACTGACTAGAGCGCCCAGGGAACGACGTCGTTACGTCACTGTGCACGTCGCTAGAAACGCTCGCAAGTACGTTGCTTTGGGATTATCTCTAACTCGTGTACCAAGAAAACTTTAAAAACAATTGAAATATGTAAGTCTTTTAATCTTTTCGTTTGATATGTAATCTTTTCTGATAAGTTATGTACCCCTGTCTTGTGTCTTTTTTTCTTTCCATTTATTTGTTCTATATCGTGACTGTTTTCTTCTTTGGTTATGTTTCAAATAAAATAAATAAAAACGCTTGCGAGTTTTTGCAGTTTCTCCTGGCTTTGCGATTGTCAGAAAATATGTTTAGAAGACATCTAAACCCGCCCCAGCCCCCGACGTAAACATGACGTGCTACTAAAAGAACGGTTTTAGTCCAGCAAAGAGTTGGTGCCGCTTTGGAACCAGTTTTCCCGGTCGCGAACCGGTTCTTTGGCTGTCGAAACACAAAGAACTGGTTCGCGCACCGGTTTGGTGGAAAAAGGGCTTGTCATACCTCATATATCAAACACATCAGAATAATAACTCAACCATTCTCTCTTCGAACAATCTTTCGCCTTCTGGATCCCATTCCAACAACAACCAGTTTGAAAATTATGAATAAACTGAAACTACTTTTTTTTTTTTTTTTTAACAACCACATGAAATACAAAGAACAGAGCAAACACTAAACTCTCTAACCCTAAACTGAAACTACCTGTTGCAGGAAGGCGACAACATGCCGCGTCATCACGAGGGAATTATGGGAATTGTAGTTTAAAACATCCAGATGCTTTATTATGAGGATGTAAACAAGACTTCGTTCTTTCATGTGGCCTAACATTTCTGTTATCATGTGACTATAACATTTCTAAAATCCCTCTCATATTTCACCTCTCGCTTGGAAAATTTCACATTATTTTATCCTCACGCCTCCTTCATTTAATAACGCCATAACTAATAAATCTTTCCGTCACTGGTTTAACAGAATCTTTAATCATTTTAATGAAATGGTTTGACACTCATGGAATCTTTTGACTTATTCATGCTTAATCACGATTATAACCGATAATTTCCGACTGCTAACTGTAAATATATTCAGTCTTATATTATACATTAATCACAATTTCCCCGAATTTAACCCAGTCATCACGGCTGTACGTCTAACCCTTATTCAGCTTGTTAATGTCATATTTGCTATAACTCTCCAACAGTGACTAAACCTAAATTAATATCATCAGACTGTTGAATTAACTGAGGACAAACTGCAAAAACAAATATAATATAAGCTGGAGGAGATGCTAGCATAATCTCTCTTATTAGCCTAATAAAGTAAAAGTAGCCTACACTTTCTTCTTAAATCTTTAATTTCGAGATATTCGGATATTGATTTCTGTTGCTTTAGTGAAAGTGAGGACTTGTTTTTATGCAAAGTTTTCAATAGATTTAGGATAAAACTGGAATAAATGATCTTTACGTTAGTAAAAGATAAAAACTATTCAAATACGTTGTTTTCTTTTATGAGAACAAAAGTAACAAAGACCTAGAAAGCATTGTTTATTCTTTGTTTTAATGACATGATTTTCTTTAGACGTTTTCTATTGTTATGTGTCTTCATAAAGATAAATATCAATATATAAAATATTGTGACTGAATCTCTAATGTAATATCATCATATACATGTATAACATTTCATTGCGCTACGTTTCATTCTGTATGCAAATAATAATAAAAATAACGGCCTAAACCTTTATTTTACCAATAAATGTCTTCAACATCGGCCTATTTCAAGTCATTGTCAAACGTATTTATTTATTATTATTGTTATTATTCATTTGTTCATAATTTTTTCTTTTTTTAGCAAATCTTTAAGTGACGAGGAGAATAAAAGAATATTTGGGAAATGCAACAATCCTAATGGCCACGGTCATAACTATAAAGGTGAGCCGTTATTTATTAGGAGCACGTTAGAAATGAATGCATCATACATTTTTCATGCACACAAGTAAATATGTTTATGATATTTTTGTTTTCTAGTTGAAGTGACGGTTCGAGGAAAGGTATTAGCTCACATTTATAAATCTGTGTTGATCGTGAGTGTGTGTGTGTGTAACAACGCTCGTGTGTTTCATAGATCGACAGAAACACAGGAATGGTGATGAACCTGACGGACCTGAAGGAGTGTATCGAGGTCACACTGTTTACACACACTAAAAATAAATCCAACTCGTGTTCATTGTACAGTGCTTTCACAACACACACCATTCAAAGCAGCTTTACAGAAAACACACGAGTCCACCACATGAGAGACTGACGGAAATATACACATACAAAATTAAAGTAACTTGTAGTTGTGTACAAGTTATTATATATATTAAAGTTAATATACACATTTTGTGTTCATTCAGGATAAATATGACACTTTAATCCCAGTCATTGCAAAGACAAGAATCTACATTTCATTTGCTCGTGAACTCTTTTAGTCATTCCACAATGAAAGATGCAACGTTGTTAATTAGTTATATTTTATACTTGCATTTATTTTTCCTTTTTAATTTTTTTTTATTTTGCGTTATATTACTATATGCTCTGTAACACTCTGAGATTGCTTAATGTAAAGTGCAATACAAATAAAATGTATTGTAATATTTTTAGGAGGTCATCATGAAACCTCTAGACCATAAGAACCTGGACCGGGACGTCCCGTACTTTGCTGATGTGGTCAGGTACGACTGAGCCTAAACGCCACATATCAGTCATGATACACTCACTATAATGATGTGTGTGTGTGTTCATTGCAGCACTACAGAAAACCTGTCGGTGTTTATATGGGACGGCATGGCGAAGCTTCTCCCGCCGGACAGCCTGTACGAGGTCAAGGTGTACGAGACCGAGAAGAACATCGTGGTGTACCGAGGAGGATAGAGACGTGATCTGAGCCGAGCCCTCCAGCTTCACTACGCATATTAATGAGAGAGAGCTGATCCCAGAACAGCAGATTACTGTAAGACACCGAGGAGGATCAGCGGGCACAGTGATCCTATTACACACTCAGAGATTACTCACACACACACAGCATCCCGTATTTTACACTTCCCAAAGCCTTTTTTAACAAAAGCATACTTGTTTGTATTTTCAAAGTATTTGTACTAATGAATAATGAACATTTTTTTGTAGGCTTCTTAAATCTGTTGTTGCCTTGTTGGCATTTTAATGTTGTGTGTTTGCTGTTAAAACTCGTTTTTCAATGCACTTGCTGAGAAAATGTGTTTTAGTTCATCTGTCCTTCCAGTAGATGGCGCTATGAGTGTTTCAATAGTAAGATCTCATGTAATAATGGTGGAGTAGATGCTAATATACTGTAGATGTTCACATGTGGTTGTTCTACATGTTTGACTGATAAACACAGCAACAGCAGTGATGTCTTTCACATTATGTATTTACATTTTTACAACATGACGATTCTGTAAGGAACATGAGAATGAGCAGTTTGCTTCAATAGTGATACACGGAATTACAGTAATGAGAAAAAAAGGTTGAAATTAAAAGTATATACTGTAATTCAAACAAATAAATGAGCCGTTCAGCTGAAGTGCACTGTGTGTGTGTGTGTGTGTGTGTGAGAAACGCTCAAGGCTGAAATCTGCTCTGTTTATGGCAAGCCGTTTTAACGTTTAATCATTCGCAGGATATGAATTCTTGATATCAACAATTACATTTTCACTAGTTAAAATGATAATTCTTCATATCAAAAATTGAATTTGAACTAGTAAAAATTATAATTGTTATCTGTAATTGTATTTTCACTAGTGAAATGTCACCATTCAAAACTGATTGTTGATTTTCTTACTAGTTGAAATTACAATTTCGCATATCAGAAATACAATTCTTACTAGTAAAAACCTTTATTTTTGATATCAAGAATTCAATTGTTACTAATTGAAATGTCTATTCTTGATATCAACAATTGAATTGCTACTAGTAACAATGTTCATTTTTGATATCTATAATTCAATTTTTACTAGTGACAATTTTAATTTCTGATCTCATGAATGTGATTGTTACTAGTAAGAAAGCCATTTAAGGCCTTGTTTACACGAGAACGCTAAAAATATTTTATCGAATGTGCCTTTCGTTTACATGGCGACGGCGTTTTTGGGATTTAAAAACGCAAAAAAAGTGAAACCACCCTCCAGAGTGGAAATCTTAAAAACGCTCCACCGCCGCGTTCCCGTGTAAACGGTAAAAACGCAAAAGTCTGCTCGACAGTGAAGGTTGTACTTGTACGCAGGCGCGTGGACTTGGTGTTGTTGTAGTATACACTCCTAGCCGCCTGGAGTGTATAATACATTGAATTTCACACACTTTTGCGTCATCATATGTAGGGTTGGGTATCGTTTGAATTTGAACGATTCTGATTCCGATTCCTTGTTTCAATTCCGGTTCCTAACGATTCTCGATTCCGATTCTTTTAAGAGGCGGGGTCAAAAAAGTTTAGCTAACCTTGCTAACCAACGGTCTTTCTGAAGGAAACACTCCTTCTGTCACAAATACTCCTTTTGTCACAAATTTTGCATTTTGCCGAGATTTCGTTATTTTTAGAAAAGCGAAGCCACACTTTGGACCGCCGACGTAAGCTACTCATGTTCGACTCGCGCGGTTATGCCAACACTTCCGGTAGACGCTTCTTCGTTGGTGTTGTTCAGCGGTTTCTTCTTCCGGTCGGCGGACTGTGAATATCGAAACTAGGAATCGAAATTTTAACTTTTGAACGATTCCGGGAAAAACGAAAAGTTAGTCTCGGTTCCAATCGATACTCGATTCTCAAAACCAAACCCTAATCATATGTACATGCGGATTCCCCACCCACAACGCTCATCTAAACGCACAATAAAAAGTGATGACGCAACGACACTTTTGCGTTTTCTCTTCAGAATCGTTTCCTTGATTTTTTGGGTTCCGGACAAGATGGCTGAGTGAGTGCATGTGCGCGATGGAGCTGTTCACCCTCAGACATGCATATTAGTGAATCATAGTTACTTTAAATTTGTTTTTGGAGATACATTTACGCTGAGTTGAGTGCACCGTCTCTATTTATTATTAAACTTGTATCGTGTAAAATTTTCGCCTCTTAACGTCACACGTGAGGTAAACCTCGGCTAACGGCTTACCTAGCTAGCAAACCACTACAGTCAGCAGCATGCAGGTACCGATGGACAATCCGCTTGTGAACAACCTACACGACTACTGTATGGCGGATGTTCCGGTGATCTCCCTCGGGGACCCAGATTTCCCCTCTCTCCCCATAACTCCTTCCTCAACTCCCTCCAAACCTCCCGCGCCAAAAAAGATGAAGTCGCAGCGCTCCGTGGATCTAGACGGTGAAGATATTGTGCAGAGAATCTCAGTCATCTTCAACACGAGAATCGACTCTCTGGAAAAGAGTATGGAGAAAATGATTTCCAACAATACTCTAAAGATTGAGGGGCTAAAGAAGACTGTTGATTTTGCCTGCGCTGAGATTCGGGAAGTGAAAGGTAAAGTGACACACATTGATGACCGAGTCAACATGGCGGAGAAAAAGACGATACTTCTGGAACAACGAATCACTGAGCTGGAAAATTATTCGCGACGTTGGAATCTGCGTCTCTACGGTATGGCTGAAAACGTAGCAGATCAAAACATCCGCCAAGAGGTTATTCACATCTGCCAGTCTATCCTGCCGGAGCACAAGGCCAAACTCCCTGATGTTATTGATTCAGTGCATCGTCTGGGACAACTAAAGAAAGGTGCCACCAAGCCTCGGGGGATAATTCTACAGTTTTGTGCTCGTATCTACCGCGACGCTGTATGGAAGGCTGCGAAGAAGTCCACCTTCCTGCAGAACAACAAGCTACGTTTTGCCGAAGACCTGTCCCCAGCCGTCAGAGAGCGAAGAATGCTGTTATGGCCACAGGTGGCTAAAGCGCGAGAACAAGGGAAGGCTGCTTACTTCGTGGGAGGTCGTGCTTTTGCCAACGGGGCTGAACTTTTTCCAGTTACCTGAAAGTGGTAAACGTCACACCTGTTAACATGTGCCTTAAGTCGAGTTAAGCCATAATATCCCTAATACTTGTTTTTCTAAAGGAAAAATTGAGCACTTTATAAGAATTTTGAGCACTTTAATGACACTCAACTTAACATACCTCCAAGACAACTTTTATTACTCCTGTTCAATTATTTGCAATAATCTGTAGGCTAACATTTTATGTCTATTGATTGCTAATAACTTTGTGTTAAGTTGTCGTCTGAAAACCTAGATATCTCCTTAGTTTTCACTGTATCACTAAGTTTTGTTTTGCACCTTTCAGTTAAGTGGTGCAGCTCCTTACAGTATGGTTAAAGTTTAATTCAATCCAAACTTTACTTTTTGCATTGTTCTATTTGTTGTTGTTAATACGTCTTTATCTATCATTACTCTTAATGCCAGGGGGATAAGGAATATTGTTAAGCACAAGGCGTTGTTTTTGTTTGTCAAGCAGCACAAATCCGATTTCTGTTTCATTCAAGAGTCACACTCAGTTCCAGAAGATGGTAGATTATGGAGATCCCAGTGGGGAAATGATCTGTGGCAGGCTCACGGGTCTGAACATTCTGCTGGTGTTGCGACTCTAAAATACAACTTTCCAGGAACTGTTCTTTTATCTGTCAGTGATACTTCAGGTCATTTTATTTTCCAAGTATTAACCATTGAAAATTTTACTTTGATAGTTATCAACATATATGGTTATAATTCTAACCATGAGAACGACATATTGCTTGGAACTTTAGAGAAGCATATACAAAATTCCCTTAATAACTTTCCAAATTCAGGTATAGTAATAGGGGGGGATTTTAACATGATTCTGGATCACAATAATGACTGTTGGCCTCCACGTGTTTCCACTGCAGTAAATGCTAATTTAACTTTATTTATGCAAAAATTTAATTTGGTTGATGTATGGAGATTTAACAATCCTAACATAAATGCTTTTACTTGGAGTAATAGAAGTGCCACCAGACGTTCACGATTGGACTATTGGTTAGTTTCTGATCATTTGAATATTGACAAAATCTCAGTTAATATCATAACAACCCCATTAACAGATCATAATGCTGTCTACATATCTATCCCATTACAATCTGCCCCTTCCTCAAGATGTAGGAATGCCTACTGGAAATTAAACAGTTCGCTTCTAAAACGCGATGAGGTTAAATCAGACATTAAGAAACTAATATTGAAATTCTGGAATAAAGCAAAGTCCGAGGGTGCTTTTGGTAGCAATTGGGAACTTCTGAAATTTAAAGCTGGCCAATATTTTAGGAATTATGGTAGTATGTTATCTAAAAATCGTAAATTGGAGGAAGAAAGAGTGATCTCTAATATATTTACCTTTTACCAGAAGGATCCTGCAGATATTTCTGAAGAGGAACGGTTATCTTTAATTTCGGAACAACTTAAATTAAATGAGATTTACTCCAACAAAGCAAAAGGTGCCTTTATAAGGTCAAGAAAAAGGTGGATTGAAGAAGGGGAGCAGAACTCTGCCTATTTTTTCGGCTTAGAAAGATATCATGGGAAACTTAATTTAATCCAGCAACTTAATATTAATAATACTGTAACTGATAATCCGAAAAGTATAGCTGTTTTCTGTGCGGAATTCTATAGAAATCTATACAAATCCAAATATTGCCATCAATCATCCACTACTTTCTTGAACTCTCTGATCGTCACTCCAATCTCTCAAGATGATAGGAAACTCTGTGATGACCCTATAACTTTGAAGGAAATTACTTTTGCAATTGAACATTGTAAACATAACAAATCTCCTGGAGTTGATGGCCTGTCTGCAGAATTTTATCAGGCTTTTACACAAGACTTAGCGCCCTTTCTGCTTGAAGTAATATTAGAAAGTATTGAAAAAGGTTTTTTACCCCCCTCACTGACCCAAGGCTTAATTACGTTAATCCCCAAACCTAAAAAGGATCCACTGTTTATAGACAATTGGCGACCTATCTCTTTACTCAACACCGACTACAAAATTTTTGCCTCAATTATTGCAAAACGTTTAAAAAATGTTTTAGACCCTATTATTGACGAAATCCAATCAGGTTTCATGAGTAATAGACACATCTCAAATAATATTCGGCTTGTCTTAGATATAATTGATTATTCATTTTTATGTCCTGATGAGAGCTTTATCTTTTTCTTAGACTTTTATAAAGCCTTTGACACAGTAGAGCATAATTTTATATTTAAAACCCTTGAGAAATTTGGTTTTGGGGATTTTTTTTGTAATGCTGTTAGAACATTGTACTGCAAAGGCAATAGCTCTATCAAATTAAAAAGTGGGACATCACCGAGATTTGAGCTGCAGAGAGGCATCCGACAGGGCTGCCCTGCCTCCCCTTATCTATTCATTTTGTGTACTCAACTTCTTTCCACCCATATTAAAAATAGTGCTTTAAAAGGAATTTCAATTGCAGATAGAGAAGTTATTCTCTCCCAACTTGCAGATGATACTACATTATTTTTAAAAAATGCCAGACAAGTACCAATCGCTATCAAAACAATAGAGTTATTTTCAGCAGCTTCTGGACTTTGCTTAAATCTGAAGAAGTGTGAACTTTTTTCCCTTAAAGAAAGCGATACCTCCCAGATTTGTAGCATACCGATCAAAGATAAGATCACTTATCTAGGTATTACTATAATGAAAAATGAGGAGGAAAGATGCTCTGTAAACTTTAATTCAATTAGTGATAAGACAAAGAAAAAGTTAAATCAGTGGCTGCAGAGGGATTTATCCTTGAAAGGACGAGTTTTGTTGACAAAGGCAGAAGGTTTATCCCGTCTTACGTATGCAGCTATCCCCTTATTTGTCAACAAAAAGCTTTGTAATTCAATTGATAAGTGTCTTTTCAATTTTATTTGGAAAAACAAGACTCATTATGTGAAAAAATCTGTTATTATGAATACTTTTGAACGTGGTGGTCTAAACTTTCTTGATTTTACAACCCTCAATTATACTTTTAAAATAAATTGGATAAAGCATTTTCTAAAAAATCCTACATCTACCTGGAATTTTATTCCTAATTATATTTTTTCTAAGGTTGGTGGTCTAGAATTTTTACTTTTATGTGATTATAAAATAGAAAAAATTCCCCTAATTTTATCGAAATTCCATAAACAAATGCTCTTAGCATGGTCATTAATCTACAAACATAATTTCTCCCCACATAGGTGCTTCATCTGGAATAATCAGCTTATTAAATTCAAAAATAAATCCTTATTTTATAAAACTTGGTTTAATAATAACATTTTTCTAGTATCCCAACTATTAAATGATAATGGTTTATTGCTAAATTATTCTGAATTCCTTTGCATTTTTGGCATTCCGATCACCCCAAGAGAGTTCGCAATTGTTATGGATGCCATCCCTTCTGGTATCTTAACTCTCTTAAAAAGGTCTGGAAAACCTGTTTGCCTACCAGCTTTGGACCCAAAGTTAACCTCAGTTGGTAATATTTGTTTCACAATCACAACGAGGAATAATAATAGGAATATTCGCTCTTTATTCCAGAGAGATGTCACATGCATCCCTAACGTTGTTCCCTATTGGTCTAACTTTGCTGATAACCTGAATTGGGGGATTATTTGGACCCTTCCTTACAAATACCTCCTTACGAATAAAGTAAGAGAAATCACTTTCAAAATGATACATAGGTATTATCCTGTTAAGCAATATCTTCTAAGGTTTAAGCTTGACATTTGTGTTGACTGCTCTTTATGTGGTCTAGTTCCTGAAACAATGGTACACCTGTTCTGGCAATGTCCCTACACCATCAGTTTCTGGAAAGATCTGTCTCGATATATTTCTATTAAACTCATTGCTGATTTTTCTTTGTTATGGAGGGATGTGCTGTTTGGTCTCCATGCTGACAAAGGTAAAAAACAAAAAGAAATATACTTAATTAATCTATTGATAATTTTAGGGAAATATCATTTTCACAAAGCCAAATTTAGTAATTCAAAACCTTCCTTTATTGTTTTTGGTAGGGAGACGGAACAGTATATCAAATCCATTTATGATTCACAAAATAAGAAGGCTGCTAAAACCATTCAGTTATGCTCTTTCTTTAATGTATTTATTTGAAGCTTCCCCTGGCTCTGTTTTTGTTTAATATTGTGTTTTCTGTATTAATGACTTTATTTGT